AAAAATAACCGCGGAATCCGCCGAAGTTCGATGAAGTTCGCGTCGTATCGCCATAACTTGCTTCAAAGGGGACGACTCCGAATCCAGCACTACTTACCTCGGCTCAACGAGACGCACATTCTTACGTACCAAAGTACCTGTTTGATAGGAGTATAGTAGGTGGCTTTTGAATTCGGTGTCCCCTCTCAAGCTAGATACGGTCATGGGCGCGATTCGGGGGCCGGGTTATTCTAACTTAAAAGAACTACTACTTACTGGAAATATGCATACTTCTCCTGGCAAACGTAATGAGGGGATTTTTAAGAATTTTTGGGAGAAATATAGAATCTCTTACAATTCATAACATTTTACCAACGCTGTTTTTGTTCCATTCATCTAGTTGAATTCTAAAAGGTGAATGAGTTGTTAGCTGAATTAGCGCAGAGTGCATTATCTATAAAATTTTCTGAGCTCAAGATTTGAGGGGTTGAGCATCTACAGTAGAGCACACTAATGTAAGCTTTAAAACCCAAACTGATATTTTCATGTACTTGATGCCATGGTCACTACAAAATGGTTGAAAAAGTGTGTGCTGCTGAAGAAAAAACTCCGAAAGTTGAAGAAACTTGCATGATTTGAAAAATTAGCCGCATTTAGTGGATTTCTCGAGTTTCCGCATTTCTTTGGAAAGCAAAAAAGAGAAGAATTTACGCAACCTGAGCAAAAAAACAGACTTGCGAAGTTTTGCGACTCTCTAAATTGTATTTCAAAGATCTGGGTGTGCACGAATCGCTCCAAAAAAGCAAAGCGCTGCAGCTTCCCTACATCTCATAATGGTAGAAAGATTGACATAATTATCCATAAAAACGTCATTTTGTCTCACAAAAGCTTTGGCAAGAAAAACAAACTGGACAGGACCTTATTTGCAGGTAAGTCCATCACCAAATTCCAGTCAGACACAACATGATAAAGAAGACAACTTTGCGTATGAAATACGAAGACGTATAAGAGGCGGAGATGCAATCGAATTGAGCGCCAGCTTATCCTTCCGTAACTCGGATACGAGCGATTATAACAAGCTAATCAGGGGTAGCCGATCTCATCAATTACAGAAAAACACCAGGTTGCACGGAAACGGGGGAAAACCCCTCTATCGATAGATATGCTGCTTGAATTTTTGTGTAAATCCATTAATGCAAAAATATGAATATGTATGCGCTACCATTACAATTTCAAAAAGGAAAACCCCATCCACATCATAATCCGTAACAACAAATTTTAGATTAAGATGAACCAATTTCAAATACAAGGGAAAACGAAATCAGATAATCATGTGTGATCATAAACTTTTATCCAAAGAATTGAAATTCACAACAACAAACAACAACGAACAACTGAGACATAACAGTTCACAGAAAGAAAAATTATGAAATTTGCAAGAAATTTTGATCCACAGGAGTAAGTGGGCATACTTTTTCATACAAATCAAAACATTAGCTACATTAGCATTATTAAAACATTAGCTAATGCAGATGCGCTATTAGCGTTACAGTACAAGAATAGCAACACACGCAACTCTCAAAAGATTTGCTCAAACTAAAAAGAAATGAAAACGGAGTTCCATCTGAAACGCACTATTTCATAAAACAAAAAATTATTCACGACGCCATGTCGTTGAATGATGCGCTTTTTCATTTAAACGCCACGAACACGTGCAAGCACAAAATTGAGTTCAAACGAAAAGAACAGATGAGATATAGCTTTACCTTAACTAATCACTTTAAAGGAGCAAAATGACGAATAACCTATGCAAGTTTAGGATATATGAAAAAGCTTATAGGAAGAAAATAAGATGCTGACAGATGCCTACGTGACCCGTAGAGCGGACAGGCACAAAAGATACAACTCTTACAACAAGAACAGCTATGGTTTGACTTTCAGATAACACACCGATGACTTCTCACTAGCCATAACTACCATGATGAGGCTGTAACGAGCCGCAGCACGAATAATCTGCAAAGAAGAAAATATTTTCGAAACCGTGACAAAAACCGGAGACTCGATCTCAGTGCACGAGAGGAAAAAGGTACATTAACTACCTTTTCCAAATGTCCATCAAGTTCATGAACAGCACGCTGCATCCTCCAGCGGCCATCACAAACTTCACCGTCTTCTTCCTCTTCGGAAGAGTACTGGAAATAGATTCAAAAGTAACACGCCAGGCATAAACAAACAAACCCCACTCTCACCTCTTCCTGTCGCTTCAGATAGTCGATTTCAATAAGCGCTAAGCCATACTCCAGTAGATCGCAGCTGACCTCATCAACATAGTCCAAAAGCGATGGGAAGGAGCTTGGACGACGAAGTGTAAACCTTCAAACGACGATTTGTGTGATATATATAACAGCGGAATGACAAAGACTCACACTTTGCTTCGTTGTATATGAAGGTCTTTCACATCAGCAAACCCAACCATTACAGTCTTTTTCGAATCAACGAGATAGTAGGAAAGTGGTCGATATGAGCAACAGTATTCGCTTCGTACTGCTTTGCTGGAAATGGAAGTATGCAAAAAGACAGGCAAACTAGTATGCGTCAAAACAGCTATGGCACAAGGATAATGGTAGCTCAAAGAGGTAGAAATATATGCTTAGGAGACAGAGGCAACAAACAACGAAATGTTGTGGGAAAGATCAAGCAAAAAAGACTTGAAGAGGAGTCAAAAATTCCAAGTGACACCCCTTCACTTCGCCTCCGTTCACCACGTCACAACGGCGAATAAAAAACCAACAGTTGATGGTACTA